GAAATGAAACTTTGAAGTTAAAAATTTGTAGTTGTCATCATAACTATGACTAAAAAACAGTACATAAATTAGATTTGCTTTTTTTTATAAAAAATTTTAATTTGCTTTATTGAAGATAAAATAAGCTAATTTTGAAAATCTATTTTCATAGCATATATAACCCTATTGCTAATAATATAGAGGATAATACTTTTCTAAATATAAATACTTTATTTGACAAAAATACATTATTTCTTTTAGTATTATCCTTGATACTTTTAAATCTCTCTTTTTTAAATTTACTACTGTGCTCTTTACCTAACTTAACTACAAGAAAATTCTCTTATTATTTAGCTTTATTTCTTTATACAGTATCTGTAATTACAACCAAGTCACTCTTAATTTTGTACATATCTATCTTTTCCTTCAAAATAAATATTAAACAATTTATATACAAAAATTTATTGAAGATTTTGATATTAAACCTATCTTTTTTAAAATTTATTACTTATTTAGTGAAGATGCACCAAACAGATTCAAATCAACTATAATATCTAATTTAATATCAATATTACTCTTAATATTCCCAAACAACAACTTACTAATAATTTTAAAATCTCTTCACTAAAGATTTTGTTAAATAGTTTTCTTTTTTTATTTTAATCTACTCTCAATAATTTATTCAACAATCCAAAGAAACTAGAAAAAGAATTTACAATTATATTAGATATAAAGTTGCTACAACACTCGTCATAGAATATAAAAAACTTCTTTCTATCTATAAAATCTCTACTATATATTATCATACTTAGAGAATACAGATATGCTATAACTAAAGCAACTTAAAATCATTTTTACATATATAAAGCTGACAAAGAAATCTCATATACTATCCTAACTACTATTTTAACTACCAATATTAAGTACTCTAAATTTTTTTACTAGCATATTTATCAAAATATTTACTAATACTTTTATAAATATTTACTTTTTTTATTTCCTGCTTCTTCTATATCTTTTACTTTATCTAACTAACTCTTTACTATAATTTACTCTACACTTAACTTTACAATCTTTAACATATTCTGCTACCTTTTTTAAACCCCTTTCTACTCAAACTTTCTTAGATCTAGCTAATGAAATAGAAGGTTTATATATTAAATAAAATAATATTAAATCTAATATAAATCACTATATCTTTTACTTTTACTTTTACTTTAATGAATACCTTAAAACAACTACTAAAAATGATAATATTTACAATCTTTCTTATAATTAATCAATCTGCAAACTCATCAAGCTAATTACAGACTTTACACATATCAACAGAGTTATTTTTTATTTTAAAATACTTAAAAACCCTAAACAAACCTTTTCTCAAATTTATACTAAGTATATTGAAACCTATCTGCTACAAGCAAATTAACTTATCATTAATTACGATAAAATTATTACTTCAATTTTATCTACTATATTTAATTAAGTGTAAAGAGCATGTCAATTATTTTTAATATAATCGCAGTGGTAAAATTTTTTTCTTTTGAAAATAAAAAAAACATTTTATTAATTATTATATTATTAAAAATTAAATAAAAGTTGTAAAATAGGTTCTTTTGATTTTAATTGTAATAAAATTATTAAAATTAATTAAGTATTTATCAAGATAAATATATTTAAAGTTTAGATATTGTTTTTTGTCATAAGATGATCATATGATATAAACCAATCAAAATCAATGATTTTATATAACCCTAAAAAATTTAGAATCACACTGAAAAACTTTGCAATATATACAAATATTTCTTTTTAAATATTTTAGTTATTAAAATTTAACTACTGTAAAAAACATATTCTAATTTATTTACTACAAAAATTTTATAAAAATTAATTGTAACTGTGGAAAGTTTTATTAATAGCATGTTTCTATTTTTTGCAAAAATCACATTGTACCACAATTATTATATAATAAATGATCAACATGCCCTCTACCCTTAAGTTATAGCAATTATTACAGATATAAATATTGATGTTATACGACTGATTTTTCACATGGTGTGCAACATATAAAAATATAATTTTACAATACTGGATCATTCTGCTAGTACATGTTATGATTATAATCCAACACCATTTTTACTAATAAAAATGATGTTGGATTATAATCATAACGTGTCTAGCAGAATGATCTAGTATTGTAAAATTATTTTTTTATATGTGCACACCATGTGAAAAATTAGTCATATAACATCAACATTCCTACCTGTAGGCAATTATAACATGAAAAGGTAAACCCGTGATAGAGATAAATATGTTGTTAATATGATCTTACTTAGTTAGAGTTAGTGATAGGTTAGGTTAGTTACTATATTAGTCACACAATTTGTCACATCTAAAATTTTATCATATGATTTTTATAAATTACACAAATCGACGAATTTACAATTTTGAATCTATTGCCCAAACCCAGTTAAAATATGTGTGTTCTTTAAGATAATCTTGTTGCTAAAGCTTCTATGAATCTAATAGTATAAATAATTTAACAAATTAACATTTCTTTATGAAATACTATGTCTTTGAAAGTGAGATATTATTTTACATACTTTTATATGATTCTTTTTAAGCTTGCAAGATCATAATATAAAAGCTGTTTCATTGGTTGCACAAATACAAGAACTTTTTTCAAAATGTATCAATGAAGAGCTGATGCATTATGAATATAATGAAGAAAAATAAGGAAACAGTTTAAGCTATTAAGTAGATCATATTTTATTTTATATTTTATTTCGTTTAAGCTAAGTAATATTTTTTTTTTCAAATAACTTTCATATTTTATTATTAATATTCATGTTTTTTTTTGTTACAAAGGCTTTATTTTATACTAGCTTGGAGTTGCGCTCATCTTTTTGACCTTATATACTGGTTATACCATCAATCTTGAATTCATTTTAGATCCCAATAAGAAGTATAAATTGACAACTTTCTGCCAGATTTTTAACAACTTCTGGGGGCAAGACAGTGGAATCTTTATATTCTTCAAGCTCTGATAGTATTTGTTCTTCAACATCTGTAGTTGTATTTGTCGAATGTGTTCTTAGGTGGGGTAAGTGTTCACTAATCACTTCAATTTCCATATCATCATCGTGTAGCTCTGAAATTAGAGCAGAACTTTCAATTTAGTCCTGTATTACTCGACTATTAGCTTCTGTTTTCACATATTTTTTATTTGTTGTCACTTTCATGTATACCAGAAGCTGTTCACCTAATTTTGTTTTCCTTTGTGTAGAAATATTTTCAACAATTTCATTCATTTTTTTGATTTCTAATTCGTAGCAGGCAAACATTCGTGGTATCCTTTTTCTGTTAATTGTGTAGTGTCTGCAAATAATAGATGAGATTCTGGCTTTTGACTGTTAAACGCTGATTTAAGCTTATTAATTAGCTTCCAAAGCACTTCTAGATGATTTTTAATTGACTATGGACTTCTGCTAATTGATGAATTACCAGTAAATTCTGAAATAAGCAAAATAAATCGATTATATTCTGCTTGTGTGACCTTTATATTTAGTTTTAAATTTTCTAAATTTGTTGTATGACCAGTCATGTTCTCTTTTAGAAACTTTACTCCAAGTGTTTCTAAGGCTTTGTCAAGAGCAAGGCAATTCTCTTCTTGTGTTAAGTTAACTGAGAGTACTTTCTGAAGAGCTTGAAGAAATTGTGGATCACTTCAAAGCTCTGATTTGAATCGAGATATGGACTCAGCATATCTATATTTCCTTGTAATATGAAATATAGGTGCAAATGCCATTAAGCTATGTATTTGTAGATTGAAGTTTGCTAACCGAATATCATGTTTGTATAATTTCAAGTACTCTGTCCATTGATAAAAAATATACCATATTTTTAAAATATTATTAGAGTTCCTATCCATTATCCATTTATCTATTTATCTATTGGATATCCAGATCTGAATTTATTCGGATATCCATTTTACTATTGATATCTGAATAATTATCTGAATATTTGTCAGATTATCTGAATACCAATAGTAAATGGATATCCGGATAAATTCAAATATGGATAAATGAATGACGGATTTATCCGGATTGGACCTCTAAATATTATTTTCTTTAGAAATATCACTAATAGAAATATTTTTTTCTTTAGCATATTGATGAATTGCAACTTCTACAGCTGCCCAAAAAAAGCCAAGTACTCGAAATGTTGCATGGTAATCTGCAACTTTTTCAAGTTTATCAAGAAACTTAACACCAAGCTAAGCAGGAGCCCAAAAATCCCATAGCCTGAAAAGGCTTTAATTATTGTACTACACATTGCTTTGTTTGTGTGCCATTGTTCTAGAATACAGTACACTATTTGTTCTTCATTTTTATAATCTTTCATGTGATGGTAAATTGCTTTGTCACATACCAAATTTAACACACCATCTTCAGTATAACCAAAATCTTCTAGGAACATGCCAACGGCCTTGTGTACATGTTCATCTTTACTCGGAGTATCTGCTAGTTCAAGAATTACAACATTCGGAGGAGCTACAAATAATGTTGAGTTGATATTTTTTTTAATAGCTTTGTCAATATGATCAATACTAAAGATTGACCCTTGACTAACTAATTGGTCAAAGACTATGTCTATTTTGGTTTGCCATTGTTCCATAATAGAACTTATACCGAAAAGAGGTGTATTTTCTATTAAATTTTTATCCAAACTAGCAAGTTCAGAATATTGAAACTGAAAGACTATTCGTATTGTTGCATGTGCAGTATTGCAAACTACCTCAAAAATATTACCATACTGGAAGGTCGCATCTTTCATGTCGATATTATCTATGGCTGCAATATTCAAAATATTTAGATTTTGGTTTAGAAGCCTTGTCTGAGTTCTGCATTAACCATTCTTTTTTTTTGAACACGCACTTCATGATTTCTAACATATGACAATACCCAAACTGCATTGAGGATTTTGTATAAAGATCCTATCATTTTTGGTCATCGACAAAGAGAAGAGAGAATGTGCATAAACCATATTTTTCAATTTCTAAAAGCGGCATTAAGTATCACAGAAACGAAGAAAAGAGAAGGTAGAATTATTTTTTTTATTTAAATGAGGAGGTGGCATATTTCTCTCTTTTCATTTTTTAGCTAATACTTGCATTTTTTTCTCTTCTATAGCTGAAATCAAGCCAGTAAAAAAACTAATTAGTTGTGATGGCATGGCATTATAATTTTCTTCTAAAGATTCAGGCTCTTCAAGTAATGGTAATCTTTTTTTAAGCTCTGCTCATTCTTGTAGTACAGAATTAGCAAGCATCCTTCCAAAAGTTTCACATGTAGTAGTGTTTAATAGTAATATTTGTTCTTCATTAACTTTAATTTTTTTAATTGCAAATACAGTTTTTACTAAAAACAGGCTTGGGACTGAAGCCGTAAAAGGCACAATATTAGTATCTTGGGTATTGAGTATATTTGTATTATTCATGTTGATATTATTTAAAAGTTTAACCAGCTCTTTTAATAAATTAATTTTCGCCACTTTATTTTCAGATTCTGTGCTTTGGTCAATCCATTTTCCAAAAAATTTCAAAGCCAACTTAGTATTATTATCATGTAATCCTTTTTCAAAACACCAAACTAGAGCTCTATTTATTTCTGGCTGAATTTGCAAATGATCTCTGTGCTCTTCAAAGCAGTTTGTACAAATAAAATGATAATTATTATTTTCTGCTATTTTTTTTGACAGCCTATTATATTCAGTTAATGCAGGGCATTTGAACGATCCATGGCATGGAGCCTGAATTGCGTGTCCGCAGACTTCTCATGTATGCAATAAACATACCAATTCTCTTTTAGAAAAGTATTTGTATCTATTGCAAAAGAGACAATGATGTGCAGTTATCGTGCTTATATCAGTGGAGTGTACTACCTTTATACTGCTTTTCAAATCTAATTTATGTACTGTTTTTTAGTCATAGTTATGATGACAACTACAAATTTTTAACTTCAAAGTTTCATTTC